GCATTAGAAAAACAAATAATCAAACATAAACGTTCTTGCAAAACAACATTGAGATGATGTATAAAAAGTAACAACACAAACATTGGATATGAAAATGACTGCGTGCTGCTTGGTGTTTCGTCTGAGTTATTGCAATCTCCAATGTTCCTCCAGGATACATTCGAGTTTGACGACTTATCCTCACTATCACTTCGCAATGTCCTCAATTCGATTTCTCCACTCGCTTTGTCCATATCAAAGCTCTTTCCCTGATCAAAAGAATCAACTGGAACAGAAGGGGAGAACGATAAGAGCTCTCCGGATTTTAAAAGCTCCCCAGCCTTGAAATCACGGTAACTAAACAGCTCATCTCTCGCTATCGCGTTGTCGCCTAAGCTGAGACTAAACAGGGAATCATTTGAAACTGTGCTCAAATTTTTCTCCAAGGTCAGTAATGATTTTCTACGAGGTTGGTCAGATCCTTCTCTTAACATCATTTGAACAGAAGGCGACAAAAGCGCAGGCTCCACTGAAGCATGTGTCACACCAGAGACTTGTGACCTCGGTGTGTCCGATGATGAACCTTGCAACTCGGATAATTTTAAAGAAAGGCTTAAGAGCTCCTTATTGTGTTGGCTACTATCAAAAGATAAACTAGATTTCCTTTCTTTTGCATTGACCTCGAGTAAATCCCCTGAAGAGGTTGGAGACAAAGAAGAAGAGGAAAGAGATGCAGAGCTGCTGCTGGTGATCTCTGGATCTGCCTTGAGACGAACATCACTGACCCCGTAACTAGCAATGCTCCCCAATTGGAACAAAACCGGCTTCTCATCAATCGCTTCTCTGATCGTTGATCTTGGATCAAAACTTCTACTATCATCTGCTTTTTTATGCTTCTTTAGATGAAAAGCTTTCCTATTGTGTCCCTTCTTGTGCTTCGTTTCCATGCCTGAAAAATTAAAACGAAATTTTTGTCACCTTTTTGTAAATCGCTTCACAGAATGCATGAACAAGGAAAAGTTTTCAAGAACATATTAGCTAAAACCGTAGAGTGATTGAACAAACCAATCACGATTTCTAAGAAATCCAATCATTTCTAATACGAATGTTGAATTTTCGAACTTCTACGATGTAAAGCAGCAGAAAGAAGAATTATATAAGATTAAACAGAGGACTTGCTTATACCTACGAATATCCATGTAAATTTCCAATGAACCCTAGCTTTCCGAACCTTCTACTTTATTCGCAATGGCTCCCTCCGTTAGAAATCCTCTCCTCGTGATTCTTCTCTGTCTATAATTCAAACTGAAACTTAAAACATTCTTCCAACCGTAAAAGAAACTGTTAAAAAGATTCAAAGAACAAACAACAGAAACAGAATGATGAATTCATGAAAGTTTGACCTCAATAATGGCACGAACCTCTGATAAATGAAACTCTAAAATCTATCCTTGAAGCTGGAACAATGACGACTCCATAAACATTTAACAGTTTTATCTTTTTTAAAACAAAACAAAACACAAAAAAGGATAATCCTTTGAAAATTTTGAGAGTAAAACGGAAAAAAAAGTTGAACAAAATGAAAGAATTAATCCATTTGGTCTTCTTTTTTTTTTTTTCTGCAGATTTCTGTAAACCAAAGGTATTCCTACAATTTAGGGATTAGCTCATCTTGGCTGCTTTTGGCGCCATCTTTTTTTAACTAAAACTTCTCCTAATCCAATGGCTTCCCCATATTAGCAATGCCACGTGTCACAACACCATCTAGAAACATCATCTTAGGTTCTTGTCCTAAAAGCTTTTTCATGTGCTGAGACCAGCCCAGTTCTTGAAGGCAACTAAGGATTCCATTTTCTTGTAGTTCCTCTTCCTCAATTTTGGCAATCTGAGTTTCTTGTGAGTCTCCATGAATGCTTGCTTATACCTCCACTTATCCACAAATATCTTCATCTCCTGAGATTTCTCTACCACTTGCATCGCCGCGTCAAAGAACCCTCCTTTGACCAACGCATACAAGAACGCATCGACTAGAGCATTGTCTAGTTTTGATCTTTTCTCTGCCTCTACTAACGATACCTTACCTTTGATCTCGTTCCACAAGAGCAGGACGTTGAAGTACTTTTCCCCGCTCACGTATCCATTAATCAAGGATAAGTATGTCTGGTTATTCGGCTCATACCGGAGGAATACCATTCTTCTGAATGTCCTCCTTGCATCTTCTAGGCGCCCGGATTTACAGAAGGCGTGAATAATCGAATTCCAATCATGGGAATTCACTTCCACACGGGGGTCTTCGACAACTTCGTCTAGAAAAGCTGCCATTAACTCGGGTCTCTGATTCTCAAGGAGACCTGTCATGATTGTTAAGTAGCTCCCTTTCAAATCCACCGCTCTTGTTTCTCTCATATCCCTAAACAATGTAAACGCAGATATGAAATCCTGGTTTGTCATGGAAGCTTCAATCAAAGCGTTATAGGTCTCGACGTCTAATTGAAGCCCGGAGCTGCTGATCTCTGTAACCAGCTGAGTAGCTTCAGCTGTTCTGTACTCTTTGCAATAGGCTTTTAAGATTGGCAAATACACCCCAAGCCCCACAGATCCTCCTCCCTGAGCAATCATTTCCTCGAGAATACTATGTGCTTTATCCGAGAATCCAAGATTGACACAAGCATTTATGATTCCAAACCCAACAGAACTATCAACATCAATGGAAAGAGATTCCAACTTGTGAGCTTCGATTATCAGTTTCGCTAAACTCTTAACGCTTTTACTCTCGATAAACCCTTTCACCAATTCACAGTACGTTTCCTCACCGAAACTCGAGTCTTCTCCACTTCCTTTAAGACTATGCAGCATAACATCAGAAACACTATCTAAATCACCCATCTTAACATACCCACTGATCACATTGGAATAAAGGATTCTTTTACTTGCAAACCCAAAACCATCCATCAAATCCTCAAGCTCACTGATCTTCTCTCTAAGCCCTCTCCTCGCATACAAATAAGCAAGAAACCCAAAACTCGACTCGTCAGGCTTCACACCCAAAACAGCCATAGATTCAATCACATTCTCAGCATCAGCGATCGATTCCATCTGCCTACAACACGCTTCAAGAGCCGCATTACTCGCAACTAAATCCGGTTTCATGAAATCAAGCTTCTCATCGATTGCAACTCTACAGCTTTCCTTAAACACCTTAAGAAACGCAGCTAATCCGCCATTTTCGCGACAGATATCAACAATCAAATGCCCCCAGAGATCAAAAGGAACAAAGTACCTGTTTTTAAACATACACTTCACCAAAGCCAACGCAGGCGCTGCAGCTTTCGCAAGTCTCATGGACTCCATAAGCGTACGGACGGTCTCAAACTCAAGCAAAATCGGATCTTTCTCGATTACGTAAGCAGCGGAAGCAAACGCTCGCTTGAGCCTGTGTGAGCTGTTTTCACCGCCTTCACCGGAATCGGACAAATGGGTGATAAGGGAATTGACGAGACGCTTCTCCGGTAGAGAAGAAGCGGCTGTGAGAGATCGGAAAGCCTTCCATGCTTCATCTGTGTTATGGGCAATAAGGGAATCGTGGAGGGTAGATTCGATTGAGGATTTTTGGTCTTGGGTTAGGGTTTTAGGGGTTTGAGGCGGCGATAGTGACGACGTGAGTGTGATTGGCTTGTGAGAGAAAAGAGATGGTTTAAGGAAAGAGTAAAGAGAAGGACTTTCAGGAGAAGACGAAGAGAAGTGTCTTCGTGAGATTGAAGTTAGAGTTTTTCTGAACATCTCTATGCAGCAAAGGATCATCTGTTTGGGAGAGATCAAAATCCGCCATATTCGATTTACTTCCGAGCTTTGCTTGAATTCATACAAATATTATACGTGTGCTGTAGAAAACAAGAAAGCTGGAATAGCTCAGCTGGTTAGAGCGTGTGGCTGTTAACCACAAGGTCGGAGGTTCGAACCCTCCTTCTAGCGATTTTTTGCTCTTTTGAGGAAATTACTCTAACAAGCCCAAAAAGATGAGAAGTAAGGTCATATTAAGGTCAAAGAGCCGAGCCTCTTCCTCTAACGTAGGTACGAAATAATTTAATTAAATTCATTTCTAAAAATAATATGTATTAATTTGAGATTATGATT